ACGCGACACCGCCATACCACAATCTCCACCACCTGACCCGAACGCGGTCAGTACCCTTCGAGTTAACACTCGAATCCCCTAACCCGTCCTGCTAAGGCTACACTCTCGCCTAAAATTCGCCCAGATTCCCCCCGAGCACCCACGATGCACGCCCCATGGTCCGGATTAGAGCTGCCTGATTGACCGTCCAATCAATCAAACAAGAACATGTCCGATCAACCGTTGACTCCGCATTGGACCAAATGATCGTACATCACTCAAACAAGAACATGTACGACCATTGACGTAACATATGCTACTAAGATTGTCCGAATCGAATTCCAGACTCCAATAATAACCCTAGACTCGACGTACACCACACAAAACCCTGGCCCTCAGCCAGTACCACTCGTGATCATACCCGATCCTTGAGTTTTACTAGGCTCACACTAGCTTCATTACACCATCTCCATGGATACAATCCTGACCAAACCCGATTAGCACCATTAGAGATCATCACCCGATCTCAAACACCTAACCCCGTCTCACTAAGGTTGACACTCTCATCCAAAACCCGTCCAAATTCTCCCAGAAAACATCTACAATGCAACACTCGCGGATCCAGATCAGGGCTGTCCAATAGATCGCGCAATAATCAAACAAGAACATGCCCGTCCCACCGTAGACCCAGACCTTGGATCAATTGGTCGCACAACAATCAAACAAGAACATGTACGACCAAAGAGGCTACATAAGTTTACCAGGGTCGTCTGAACTAAGGCTCCAAACTCGAGTAAAAACCCTAGATTAGACATCCCCAAACCACCTGAGATCATTCCCGATCCCTGAAGTTCATCCAATCTCATACTTATAATCACACCACAGGTACTATTGCTCAAACTCATATCTCTATACACCACTCTCACTCGCAGGGTCGTCACCCATCGAGCTCTCGATGTATACCATACCGGCTCTCGGTATGCKCCAGCCCCTCCGCTTCAGGACACACAGTCCATCAGCTCTCGGCTGCAGAGGAATCACACATCCTCTGGAGAGATCACAATCCCTCAAAGTATATGCAGGAGAATATCACCATCCCCTGGAGTAGTAACACTGTAACGTGCATCATAAGCACCTGTCGACCGATTTACTTCCGTGGTTCCTATACCGATATTCCCTAACCTGGAATATCACTCATGACCAATCCCCAAGTCATCTGAAACAACCCAAACATCAGGGTGTTTCCATCGGAGTCCCTGGAAAAGACATTCCTAACTCACATAAGACTTCTGTTCCAGACTCCTCCTAGAAAATAGACAGGTTCTAACTCACATAAAACTTCTATTTTCCAGCGCCATCTAGGAATATACCCGTCCTAACCCCTTAGGACCCCCATCCCTAGATACCTAGACAAGCTCTAACTCCTATAGAGCTTCTATCTTAGCCCCTCAAATGACCTCCCAGTCATCACACACATGACCTAACCCAGTCATCAAACCCATGACCTCCCAGTCATACCATAAGAACATCCGTCTRATAACAGAAGATAATAAGGAACAT